TCGCAGCAGTGAAACTACGGCTCCGTGGTAAATTGTGGTAACATGAAGAGCCGCTTGGGAGCCGAGAGAGCCGGCTCTTCTTAGTGAGCCGAGTGAAATGATCCGGCTCACTAAGAAGAGCCGGAATTCCCATCGCTAATACGTAAAGAGATAGTGTCTAAGGCAGGGGTTCCCAAACTTTTCAGCCCGCGACCCCCAAAATAACAGTGCCAGAGACTGGCGACCCACTGTCGACGGGGGAAATTATACAGATGGCTAGTCCGCCCCTGAAAATGTCTATGCAAACGTTTTTATTAATAATAATTAAAAAATTAAAAATTTATTTTTAAAGAAAATCATTTTTTTGGTTGTAATTTTCCATTTTAATTTTGTAATCATCTCGCGACCCCCACTTTGGGAACCCTTGGTCTAAGGGACGGCTCAATTCAAAATTCAAGTCACGTGACTCGACGTGACGTCACCCCCCCGCTCTCGGGGTGGACGCCCTCTCAGCCCTGGTCTGGAGGGAACACTGGTCAGTAGTATGCGTGGTAAGGTGACCTATAAAAAATACATCGGACAGACATCTCACCGTCAGTTTACAGTCAACACCGCTTGACTTGTAATAGTTTTAAAAGTTAGTGCTTGTAAAATGCACAAATCTCGTTTTGAAACTCACACTTCTCACGCTTATTTAATTTTCGAATAACAAGACTAAAAAAATGAATATTTAGGTACAATTTACGTGCACAAAAACCTATAACTCACTGCCATGAGTAGTTTTAGCCCCCCCACGATATGTCCTGTTTAGAGTGTGTGTTTGTTGACATGTACCTTTCTTCTCCTCTGTCGGCGAGCTGGTGTCCATCTTCTCATCTTTCCCCTCCTCAGCTGAAACAACAAAAGCACCGTGAGATAATGCAAAGGGGAAAAAGGCTCAATGGAAAAGTTGTTGTCTGTGTTTTGCATTTTACTGTAGTTGTATATTTGTGGAGTATTGTACTTGAAAGCTATATATTTTAACTACACATGTAAGAGCACAACTAGGGACAAGAGGGGAACATGTGCAGCTCATACATATCTTAGATAACATCGCCCTGATCAAATCATTTAACTTCAGCTGCCTCACCTTTAGACTTGTCCTCCTCTGACTCCGTCTTCCCCTCCGAACTTTCACCCTTGACCTCAGCAGGAGCGTCCTTCTCCGTCTCCGAAGTCTTCTCGTTCTCTGCTTTGTCCTTACTCGTGTCCTCCGTCTCCTTCTCCTTCTCCTTTCCTTCGTCTCCATTTCCTGTCTCCTTCTCATCCTTCCCCGCGGCCGAGTCCACCTCCTCTCCTTTCTTTTCGACGACGGGGGATTTTTCAGACTCATCAGGGATTTCAATAATCTAGAGAAGTAGAACGTTCCAGTTAGCAAAATGTGTGTTTGCTGTTGCTCAAATCTTATGAGACTGTTCTGAAAACAAAGGGAGGATGATTTGGATCTGAGCTCACCTCTGAATCGTCTGCCTTCTTCGCTCCTTTGCCGTCCTCGACTTCCTTCTTCACGTCTTCCTTGTCCTCAGACTTCGACAAATCTTCTGACAAGAAATTTGAAAAGGTCAGAGATAGAAATTCATTTAACTAATGTAACGGCCACACATTGATTTAAGGAGTTTTTTCTGAACTGTAGTGGCAGGGGAAAAGGTTTAAAGGGGACCTATCATGCAAAATGCACTTTTGTACGTCTTTTATACATGAACATGTGTCCCCGGTGTTCCAGGGAACTCACCAAGTGTCAGAAAACACAACCCTCTCTATTTTCCTCCATACCCAAATCTCTTAAAAAGGGGCTGCAACGGATCTGATACAGACTGATCCAGATTTGAACACTTCTATGACGTCACAGAAGTGGCGCTACGGCTATTGGGCCAACTCCACCAATCAGGAGGAGAGAGCCACGGACATTGCCGTTGGAAAGCGCTGGAGACGCTGTAGTACATATGCCAGGCCTGTAGATGGTGCTGTTCTCACAGAATCAGCCCATGCAAAGACAGTGTTAAATTGAGCGAAATGAGGAATGGCTAAAATGCATGATCTGTTTGGTATTTTGAAAAATAAAAAGTATAAATATGCCTTATATAGGTATGGTCCTACACTATATTATTCAAATATAGCATGATAGGTCCACTTTAAATTTCATTCATCCTTCAATGCTTTGCCAGCCAACGTATTCTTTTTATTTCTCTCTTTGCAAAATGTCTCTGCAGATGAAATGCCTCCATCGTTTTCCACGAGACACCGTTGAGCATTACTCAATGTTCAAACACTGGCTGCATGTTGATGTAAGGTGCGGTCACAGGTGCATTAGCTAATTCTGCCAAAATCAATGGATCAAGTGTGACATTTGCATCATATGTTTCTCTGAGTTTAGAAGTCAATCCAATTTACTCTACAGGAGCAGAGACGGAGGCGCCTTCCCCTCCCGGCTTTTAACATGGACTCATTCATTAAGGTGTTATCAAAGTGCTGGGCCGACGGGGCCATCTGTGTTCTCAGTGATGGATGAAGAGAGCGAGCGAACCTGTGAACTCACCACCTTTCAGACACAACTTTATCTCTGCGCTTTGACACCTGGCTTGCATCATCAAACTAACCTTTTTAAAGATGCAATTAAAAACAACTGCAGAGAGAAAACGTTTTAATGTCTCCCTTAAACACACACCGCTTAGTTTTTATATTTTTGGAAAATAAGCAGTATTTACTTCATCGTACTCAGTGGGCTACATGTCAGCTACAAGAGGGAGCTGTTGGTTTTTCTTAATCCTTTTTAATTACAAGTGTGTTTTTTTGTGTCTTCGCCGTGTCAGCAGCCTCAAGAAGTACCATTAATCCTGAAGATTTTACAAGAGTGCATACATCATTTACCCCCCGCTTCTAAATATCTAAGAAACAATAATTACTGTCCTGGTGGGGTTTTATCTAGAAGGAACACTTTTGTCCGAAATAAAAGTATTTACAACTTTTATTTCAGGTAATTAATTTATTATGTTTATTTTCAGGTGCATATCAGTATGTAGTGTCTCTACTTTAAAGAGTCCTCTCCTGCTGATGTTCAGGTGTATATCAGTATGTAGTGTCTCTACTTTAAAGAGTCCTCTCCTGCTGATGTTCAGGTGTATATCAGTATGTAGTGTCTCTACTTTAAAGAGTCCTCTCCTGCTGATGTTCAGGTGTATATCAGTATGTAGTGTCTCTACTTTAAAGAGTCCTCTCCTGCTGATGTTCAGGTGTATATCAGTATGTAGTGTCTCTACTTTAAAGA